TCTAAAAAAGTCTCTTTCAGATGGGTTTATACACACCATCAGTGAGTCTCTCCTTCCTTCGGGTAGGAAACCCAGTTCAATTCTCAGGAAGTCATAATTTCATTCACGTACTCCATACCAATTAACAAAGTGCCTATAAATTATCAGCTTTTGCTGATAATTTGCAGCCATTTCTAGATAAAAAAGAAACCTGAACTCCCTGGAGGGACCACCAAGCTCCCCCCAAGTCTACAGCTGAAAGGACTTTTCGTGGACTTGGGTTTCTTCTGTACCTCTGAAAGGGTAACACCTTAAAGCTGAATCATCTTTAACATGGAGGTCTAAAATGATACTTAGCAATACTTGCATCCCAGACATACAACATTAAAAAGGTACACTAAATTCTGAAGGTAGCTAGGCTCAAAATAGTTTAAAATTAAACGACCGTACAGTATTCATTTATGCCTAAAATTCCAGTCCTAGACCAAGCTTGTGGCCACCAGCATTGACATTCTTGCCATCCAGCAGAGCTGATAGGGTCAGTTTGATACCTGGCTTTAGGGTCTGAGTATATCCTAAACCTATCAGGCTGGAGTTGTTCACTTTAGCTGAGAAGCAGGCGTCAGGGTCGATCTGATACTTGGCCGCTATTCCAAAGTGAGTGTTACTATTTCCTGCTGTTCAGGCCAGACAGACAGTGGTCTCTAACTTCTTGTTCACCTTCTGATAAATGGAGCCACCAAATTCTGTCCCATCGTTTACATTAGTGTGGAGCTGGAATTCGTCAGTCTTGTAGCCAACTGCAAAGTTGCTCTGGGTCACTTGAGACTTTGCAGTCTCAAAATTCATCTGGTAGCCAGCCAGCCAGCCATCATATCCCAGCACCACAGCACCCGGACTGAAGGACCTGCAATGTCGAAATCCACGTTGCAGCCCAGGTTGATGTGCTCCCGCTTATACCCTGTCTTGATTTTAGCATTTTTCCCCCCTGTGTTTGGTGAGAAGGATGAATCAAAGGTCAGCTTCAGTCCATGTGCAAGCTGATCTTCCACAGTGATCTCTGTGCCTAGTGTGTTGTCAGTGTTCCATTTCTCTGTGAACATCAGACCATATTCGGTCCATCTGTACTTGGTTTCCAGACTGCCCGTCACTTTGGTGGTCTCAGTGTTGGCTGAACCTGAGCTTGTAAATTCCAGTCCATTCTCAGATTTTGTTTTCGAGTCAAGTTTTATTAAGCCAAATCCATAACCCTTGGTGAAGACATCCCTGGCAGATTTGCCAAGATCAGCATACGTGGGAGGCACAGCCATCCTCTCTGCTCAGGGGCAGTGGCGGTGGGCTCAGAGGCTGCTACCGCGGGGCAACCTGTTTCTTTTTAACTAGGAAAAATTTGCATACGGTTAAATAGATCTTAAGTGCACAATCTACTGTTTTAATAAATATATAGATCCACGTAACCACCACTTCAGTCAAGGTATAAACCATTTTGAAACCCCAGAAAATGCCTTTGTGCCTTCTTCATGTTCATCATAAGCAACCACTGATCACCTATTGTGCCTATTTGGTCTTCATATAAATGGAATCAGAAATCTGTACTCTTTGGGTCTGGTTTCTTTCACCCAACATAATGTTTTTGAATTTCCATCCATGTTCTTGTGTCTGCCAGCAGTTTATCCTTTTTTTTATCGCCAAGTAGCATTTTCATTGATTATCATTTATCAGTTAGCAGACACTTGAGTTGTTTCCAGATTCTGGCTATTATGAATAGAGATGCTATGCACATTCATATATAAGTCTCTGAGTGGATATTTCTGCTATTTTCTTCCAGCCTGTGGCTTTGATTTTCACTTTCTTAACAGTGTCTTTTAAGGAGCAGAATATTTTCATTTTGATGAAACCCAATCATTTATTTTCTTGTCTAGTTCATGCTTTTTGTGTCCCATATAAAGAATCTTTGCCACTCAAGGGTCACACAGACTTTTCTGCCTTTTTGTAGAAGTTTTCTTAGATGTAGGTTTTACATTTAGTTCTAGAATCCTTTTTAAGTAAATTTTTACATATAATGCAAAGATTCGGGGTTTTTTTTGTTTTGTTTTGTTTTTACATAGGAATGTCCCATTGTTCCAGTATCATTTATTTAAAAGACTATGCTTTCCTACATTGAATTGTCTTGGCACCTTTGTTGAAACCAACTGGCCGTATATGTGTGGATCTATTTCTGGACTCTCTATCCTGTTTCACTATCTATTTGTCTGCCCTTATGCCAACACCAAACTGCCTTGATTACTACACTTTTATGGTAAGTCTTAAAGCATAAGAGTTCTTTCTGTTGTCCTCTACATCCTTTGCTTTTCTGTATACATTTTAGAATCAACCTGTCAGGGGCGCCTGGGTGGCTCAGTCGTTAAGCGTCTGCCTTCGGCTCAGGTCATGATCCCAGGGTCCTGGGATCGAGCCCCGCATCGGGCTCCCTGCTCAGCGGGAAGCCTGCTTCTCCCTCTCCCTCTGTCTCCCGGCTTGTGTTCCCTCTCTCGCTGTATCTCTCTCTGTCAAATAGTTTTTTTTTTTTAATCTTAAAAAAAAAGAAAGAATCAACCTGTCAATTTCTACATAAAACTCCACCTTGAAAAACATGAAAAAATTGGGAGGTGTAACATGACTGAATTTCAAGACTAATTATAAAAGCTACAGTAACTAGGACACTGTAAAGTTGGCATAAGAATATAAAGATAAAGATATATATACAAATAGATAAGGAACTAAATAGAGAATCCATAAAAAGATGCACATATATGCTGTCAATTTCTGATGAAGTACCAGTGCAAATCAATGTGAAAATAAATATATTTTCAACAATGGTACTGGAACTGGATAAATATTAAAGATACAGAAAAATATACTTTGATCCCTATATCTCATACCATGCTCCCAAATTAATTTATAGACCATAGACCTAAACGTAAAAGCTAAAATCATAAAGCTTCTAGGAGAAAAAGTAGAAGAAAAAACTTCACAGCCTCCAGCTAAAAGTGAAAAAAGTGAAAAAAATCACAGACTTAGGATTCCACTCAGAATATAAGAAGACTTCTTAGAAGTCAGCAATAAAAAAATAAGCATCCTAATTAAAGATGGGCAAAAGAACTGAAAACATACTTCATAGAGATATGCATATGACCAATAGCACATAAAAAGGTGTTCAATATCTTTAGTTATAGGGAAACAAATAAAAACCCCAATGCAGTACCATTTCATACCTATTAGAATCGGACCCAAAAAAAAAAAAAAGTCTGAGGACCGATGGGGATGTGGATCAACTGGAACTCTTTTATTGCTGGGAATAGCGTAAAATGATACAAATAATTTGGAAAACTCTTTGGAAATTTCTAATAACATTAACCATACATCAATTTCATGAGCCAGCTGTTCTGCTCCTAGATTTATTCCCAAAAGAAGTGAGAGCACATAGACACAAAAAAGTCTTGTACTAGAATGCTTATTAGCAGCTTCATTCATAATAGCCCCAAACTGCAAACAACCCAAATGTCCACCAACAGGAGAATAAACCAACTGTGGAATATTCATGTAAGAATATTACTATTCACCAATAAAAACGAATGAACTAGGGGCGCCTGGGTGGCTCGGTCAGTTAAGCGTCTGCCTTCGACTCAGGTCATGATCTCAGGGTTGGAAGATCGCGTCCCACATCGGGCTCCCTGCTGGGTGTGGAGCCTGCTTAAGATTCTCTCTCTCCCTCTCACTCTGCCCCTCCCACCTCCCTCTCTTAAAAAAAATATATATATAAGGTTCAATAACATGCAAATAAGCTGATAATAATCAGAATAGTGGTTACTTCTGGGAAGGGATGATTAGAAAGGGGCATAAGAGAATATCCTGGTAATCCAGGATATGCAAATATTTTCGATCATGATTTGGAGATGGTAGCATGGGGTATACCTCTGTTAAAACTCATAAAATTGTATATCACCATGTGTACATTTTGCTATATATAAATTACACCTCAATAAAGAAAATAATAATACAGAAATGCATTAAGAAAGAACAGTCGTTCATCAACATAAGCTTTTAACCTTATCGATTTTTTAGAAATGAATAAAAAAGGAAGCAGTGGTGTATAGTGAAGTGGGAATTAAAAAGAATTTAGCCTAGGGGCACCTGGGTGGCTCAGTTGGTTAAGTGTCCGACTCTCAATTTCGGCTCAGGTTATGATCTCAGGGTCCTGAGACGGAACCCAGCATTGGGCTCTGCACTCGGCAGGGCGTCTGCTTAAGATCCTCTCTCCCTCTCCCTCTGCCCTTCACCCCCTCCCTAAAAAAAAAAAAAAAAAAAAAAAAATTAGTCTAAATAAATGAGTTTAAAAACTTATATTCATATAACAATCCAGAAATAAAGCTCCACATGATACCCACTGAATTGGTTAGAATGAGGTTTTTCTATAAGTAACTGAGACAGAAGATGACAATGGCTTAATTAAAAAGAGTTTCTTCCTCTGTTGCATGAAGAGCTATGATTGCAGCCCTACAAATTCCAAGGAGCCGAGTTCCTTCCAAAATCCTGCTCTGTACCCTTAGCATGTTCCTTGTGTCCCAAGATGGGTGCTCAAGCTCCGGTCACCATGTACACATTCCAGCCAGGAGAGAAGAAAGAGATCTGAAGAAGGGCTTGTCCTCCATTAAGGATATTTCCCCAAATTCACACCCAACATTTCCATTTACATTTTATTGGCCCGAATTAGTGCCACACTTAAATGTATGGGACTTGGAAATACAGTCTTTATTCTGACTGGGTATCTATCCAGAAGGAAAGGGATGGAAGGTGTCAGAGGCGACAGTTATGGATCCTGAGCCCAGTCCACTTCTTTATTCACCTAAATATGCACAGGCTCTTTCTTCTCTCATGCAAAAGGCACTAATCCCCTGCTAAAAGAAAGTAACCTCAAAGTTTCAAGAACAGGGAAGGAAATTGGGAGCAGTGGGGTAAATGCTCCTCATCGTGACAGACGGCTACTCTGGGACCACACGAGAATGAAGGAAATGAGCCAGCACAGAAACGGTAGACGCTCAACCTGTCCTGTCCCCGAGCCTCAGCCCGGTGTTCTTCAGAGCCAGGCCAAGGCAATGTGGTGCTCAAAGCAGAAAGTAAGGGCTGCAGTTTGCAGGCACTGCCCTGACCTCTCTCTTGCTTCCACTCTCTCTCACGCCCTCCTCCCTGGATGCAATGGCCAGCAAACTCAGCTACGAAGCTCCCTGCGGAGATGCTGGTGGCCGTGAGGGGCACAGCAGCAGGACCCAAGTGCTAAGACCATCTGTCGGACCCATATCAGAGTAGATGAGCGCCTCCCCTCTCACTCTAGAGTTTAAAAAGCGTCATGAACACATTCCTAAGTTAAATGTGAGATAACTTCTCCTCGGGGTCCCCACACCCCAGACCAGGAGAGAGACAACACGCAAGTGACAATCCAAACATTTATTCAATTGACACCTGAGATCTCTGCACTCCATCACTGCTCCACGCACCTCGGGGTGAGCCTGGATGGGGCCACTAGGGACTGAGGAAGGGGGCCCCATCACGGGGCTGCCCCAGGAGGGCCTGTGTGCCACAGGCTGGCC